TATATATATATATATATATATATATATATATATACATATATATTACTATATTAGAAAAACTATATTTTAGCTTACTCTGAAGACTTCTCGCATGAAGAACACCCTAATACCCCTAAATACCCATCATGCTCAAGAAAATGCGCTTTCGATTCTCCAGAAGACCAATAAAGCAATGTAGCACTGATGATACTGCAAACAAGATGATTGTTTCGAACGAAACCGCCAGCAAAGAAAATATTCTTTATACCATGTATTTTAGCATGAAGATAAGCCAATTGAGTAACATTACCAGAGATCATATTAAGTAAGGAGCGCACAATATCCAGCGAAGAGGCAGCTGACGGTGCCCTATCAGAATTATGCGCGTAAAACAATGAATTAGTTGTATTGAAAGTTGGAGAAAGAATCTCCCCGGTATTATCATCAGCAAAATAGTCCACAGGACTAGCACAGGCTGCTTTGTAAAGGCTTTCTGCCCCAAACTTCCCAAAGGAACTTGCTACACTTTCGCAAGACAACATAGCAGGCAGGTCCTTCACATTGTAACCATAAATATCACCTACAAGTAAATCGACATTTTTGTTGTCGCCTGGACCATCCAGACGCATAATTTCCAATACCTCTTCCCATGAGGTGAGATTAGTAAGAATACGAGTAAGACCCCAAAAAGTGGCCCCACCGATGGGCGATCCGCCAACCCTCTCATGGGAACCGTCCGGACCAAGGCACTTGATGAAGGAAATACCTGAACCAATATTAATGAGTAGGTATGGATACGGCGAGAAGGAGTTGCCGGACCCTGCGAGTTGATGTGGCATATGCCTTCCGGAAGCCACATCAACCGTGAAAATAGAATTGAGCGCTTGTTCAATAACCAAATTTAAGCCCTTCACAACTGCGTACATTTCTTTGACGGTGTCGAACTCAACGTTAAGGGCTTCCCTCACGACCTGGGCATATTTGTATGCTCCGCCACCGGTAGCACGCATATTTGTTGTGTAGACGCTCTTGTAATTATTGATCACTCCATTAGCTTCGATGAATTCCACAAACTGATGTGTTTTTTGAGATGGAATCCTCGCGAAACGAATTCTTCCCACATATGACCGCGGGTACTCCTCCAATTCAGACTTCGCCTTATTTTCATCCTCAAAGAAGGAAAACAATCGCCCCCCTAGTGCATCGGTGAGCGAAGACGCCTCATGCATCATGAAAGATAGTGAATCATCCCTTGGCATGCCAGGTGGGACGATATACGCAACCTTTGTGAACGTACCACCAATATCAAGTGCGATAGGAACCTTCAGCCGCATCCCATTAATCTTTGGGGAGGGACTTATGACATTCAGGTGCTCGCTATCGGTATCCGCTAAGCTGCTGTTGGATAGAACAGTCTCATTATTCATCGTGTGGACGTTCCCCTCGCTGTAAAAGCGGTCCAGCAGTGAATGAAAATAATCTGCCATACAATCACGTCTGTTTTTACCGAAAGCATTAAGAAAGCGATTATGATCACGAAACGCATGCGGGTGAAAGTGAATAAATTCTATCCTTTGCGAGTGATGCAAGTGATGCTCGTCGGCTATTTTATTCAGATCCATTTGAATAATGTCAAGCGCTGACTCGACCAGATCCCTCCAAATAAAAGGTTTTAGCTGCGTTGTTTTTTGATTCTGATACCATTCATACTCAATTGTATCACGGTTAGGATATACCACCGCTACCAGCGGTTTCATTGGCTTACAAAAGATAAAAATGTCATTCACGTAACGAGAGAAAGCATACAGACGTTCAAGCTCCTCTGAAATCGTGTACTGGTAGTCCACCGGCCAAAGAATCCCCGAAGAGCTCCCAAAGAGTGTGAGAGTTCGAGACTTTTGCCAACATGCGGCAATCTTTAGGTGTCGCTTCTCCATGCATTCATTCGTAACCGTGAGCTCGGCGATTTGAGCTTTCTCAGCTAATTGATCCATTGGTTCGAGTTTCAAACGAAGACCGGGTGCTGGTATACCGTCGATCAGAAGGAGCCCCACAGAATTAATATAGCTCACTTCCCGTAAATTGGATGAATAACAGACCGATATATGTTCGATCAGTGGAAAAGAAGAACACTCCTCGGCGATATTCAATATAATACGCCTAACATTTCCACCAAGCTGCCGCTCAAAGCTTCTAAAGAAGAGGAAGCGTAGGAGTGAAGAATCACGTCTATTGATGTAGATGAGACGTGATCGAAGTTGATAGGCGCAATCAAGCATCCAGTTATAAAGACCTATGCGACTTTGTCCTGCACAACTAAGCTGAAGGGTGCTAGCATTAAACATTGACGGAGAAGCCACCAACAAGGAAGGTTTGAATATTAAAAAAGCTTCCTGCAAGCGAACGGAATCAGTCGCAGCGATGGCATGCCCTTGGGAAAGTAGACCTAGAATGCACACACGGTTGAAAAGGGACGCGTAGGACGAAAACCATAACATACAATGCTGTTGGTGATTTCTGGGAATAACAGAGATTTGAAGCATATTTTTGATATCCTGCAAAACCTGCTTCTGCGACATGGGGAACACAACGTCGGCTTCCGAGTTGGTCCCATTGTCTAACGAATAGTTAAAGATGGTGTCAGGGGTTGGTTTCTTTAAGGATTGCTGCGGGTTCAGACGCCCATTAAGCTCAACACTTTCAAAAGAAATGAGAGAAACGTTCAAGTTCTTTGCGGCAGCTAGATCATCACCGTCCACAAAGGGATGAAAGTGTATGATTTTTTCCAACGACACAGAACGGCAAGTGAGAAGCGCGGCCACCGCATCTCGGCCCGCGAACACCACCTGAATGGGATGTTGGTCTAGAAGCGATCGAATGTGACTTCGCTTCCCAGCTAGACCTAGGGTATTAAATCCGTAAATAATGCAGGCGATGTCAAGAATAGACGCATTGAGACAAGCATCACACTGAACGCCGATGGTATCCCCAAACTTTAAGCCAAGATTCAAGAGACCCGCGCCAAGCTCCCGCGCGCGTACATCCACTCCGGCATAAGAAATCCAGCTCACTTCCCCCACGTAGCCCGTACTCCCCAAGCAGCGTTGCCGACGATAGCGCACGACCGACCGCCGCCACATGTCCCCGAGGCTGTTCACGTGGGGCAGCGGATCAGGAACGCGAGGGGACAGGTCCATCGCGGCCTCGCCCTGGATGACCTTGTCTGTAACAAAGGTGAAGTGGGTTTCGTCCGGCAGGCCGCTGAGGGTGTAACGAGAGAAACGCACAATGAGCCAAATCAAACAGGTCAGGACAACGGGCTTGATACTGACCGTCAGCGTCATCCAGGTCACACAGAAGATCACCAACAGATCGAGGTGGTAGGTCGACGTTGGGTTGGAGGCCTCGTGATGCACCTGCTCGACAAGGGGGGATATCCGTAGCAACGAGTCCGAGAGCGGTCGCGTCGGTTGATCGCGCCGGACAGGAACTGAAATGACCGACGTGATACCAAAATGATCCGAAAGATACGTGTACGGGCGACGACTACTCACGATGAACTTTTCTAAGCGCGAATTCGATGCCTCGATCGGGTGAAGAATAAAGAAGTAGTCCTCCCGCTGCGGTATCGATGGGTTGGCTTCCAGTTTGTGGCGCGTAGGAAAGAATAGCTTCGGTGGACGAGTCGGTGGATTGAAGCCATTCTCCTCAAATATAATATCTTTAATATTTCCAAGAGCGTGTAGTTCATTTGTCAAGTCATTAAAGGCCCCTGAGGGATGGTTAGTGTTAGATTTGATACCATGTATATTAAAGCTTCCAGAAACGATAAAAGGACATTTAACTTCCAATGGACTCTCAATATTGTTTTCCAATTGTTTCAGAACGGAATCCATAAAGCGAATCATTTGCTGAACCTGAGATGACTCGGATGGTGCCCGTTCTTCAGGACGTAAATGAACATTAAAAAATACAATCCGTCCACTGTCGTTACTATTATCCATCGGGATCTCGATTTCGGCAAAAATGCACCCCTTCAGCATGACATGCGATGCGTCTTCTTCCTTTCTGAATGTATAAGAGCCTCGGCGGCATATCGGAAACCTCGATACAATAATAAGACCGTTGTCAGATAGAACGTCATGGCGCAGCATTGTAAAATAAGATGGTTGCCTTGAAATGACATAGTGATGAAAGCCCTTCTTCTTTAGCCCATCCAATAGCACTTTCTTAAAGCAAAAACGTTTTTGAAAAGCATAGGGCAACATACTGGTCGCATACACTTCTTGAAGTAAGAGAACATCGTATGAATCTACTAAATTCAGGAATGTTTCAATACGCTCATACTGATATCCAGGACACCCCCTCGGAAGGATGTTAAAGTTATAGCTCAAAACACGAGCCTTCGCCACTTTATTCTCAACAATAGGTTTCATCTTTTTTTAATATAATTCCTGAAAAAAGGGAAAAAAGGGAAAAGAAAAAATTAAAGATAATATAAAAACTCAATGATAAAATGTTTAAAAAAAACTATATATATCTCTACCGTGAAATATATTAGCTTGACAGTTATACACTAATGTTTGAGAACAATCAGACAAATGTATGCTTAGAAAATTTAGCTGTCTTTGCTGTGGAAGACAGACGTAGAAATACAACGATCTAATGAAAAGGAAATAAAAAAGAAGAAAGGTGGTCAATTTCTAAGTTTCCTGGCATCGATTTTGAAAATCATGAACAAGGACAAGAAAAAGTGTCTTCTTTTAGTGTAAATTAACAGGATAATGGAAAGTTAGTCGTGCTGTAGCCCTCCTGTAATGAAGCAACGTAGCAAATACCTCTATAGTCACACAGACTATTGTCTAAAACCAACTTTATTATTATGTTAATACTCCGCAGAGTAAGGAAAACACTACAAAGCGGATAAGGGAAAGAAAGGTTTGCGGTAATCAGAAGGAAACGTCTGAAAAAATATATAAAGGAGAGACAATGCTTTAAAATAGCAAAAAAGTGATGGAACTATCCATATCAGGTACTATAATTCCCCCAAACATACAAAATAACCAAAGTATAAGCTGTAGTAAAGGACAAAGAGGCATAAATGGTGCGGAAAGAAACCATGCTAGTGAACAAAATATAAAAACGCGGCAGTCCATCCTGATGTTCTTTATAAGTGTAAACTCACACTTCAATGCACTTTTGATAAAGTATTATGCATCCTTTCGTTATTGTTTAAACTATTAATGCAGGCAATGCAGATGAACCTAAACAGATCGAATGAGCAGATTACATCAAACATTGATTAATACCAATTCATATTTGCAAGTCAAAACAACAGAATATGAAGAAAAAGGATAATCACGAAATATTACAAAAGCATTTATGTCTGATCCCTATCATCCCCTTTTTTCAAGTTTCCCCATGTTTAATTCGATCCCCATCATTCATTCCTAATTTCCAGTCACCTACCAAATCTGTTCAAGAGAGTTTCATTTTCAAAAGATCATGGAAATACGGGATATGTTCAATTTACCAATCCATGACGCTTTGATTTTGCTCCTAGATATCCTCACTTTTCCATACAAAGCGGCATCTTGGATTAGCGCATGCAAAATACAGTGTCATATCCTCTTGTGGCTGACCTAAAGGATTGACAAAGCAGGTGACATCGTTGTGTTCGCACTTGGGGCATTTCTTGGTAGGGTCTCGCTGCGCGGTCGGGTCACTCGCAAATTCCTCTAAAAGATCCGTTTCGCCCATGGTATCACTCTTTATCTTTAAGTTTAAAACGTGGACCATCTTATACTCGTCGTGTATTTCAGTCGTTTGGCAATAATTACATCGCCAAAGCATGCTACGTTGGGGATCGCATTCGGGATACAACAAATTGCTACAACGAGCACAGAACAGCATCGGTGCCGCGTTCATCTTTCTGAAAAGAATTTCACTTATCTTTGATGACACCTTTGCACTCGAATAAATTTAATAAGTAACCTTAGATTGCCCTTTCGGGGGATGAAACAAAGGAAATTCCTTTAAGTATAATTCAATAATATAAACCCTTGGTTTCCTTTTTTTTTAAGAATGGAGTTTTGTAATGTTATTATAAAAATTCTACAAATAAAGCAAGGGTTTAGAAAAAAACGTCAGACGTGTTTGGGGCAAACAATTAACGGAAAGAATGATCTAAGAAAAATATTGGGTTCTGAAATAAGATACCACTTTGATCTAAAGGCACAAAACAAAGTACCCCTTTTCACGATACATTTCATGACTCAAAACATAAATAGATTACTAAATACCCTTTCCCTAACAACCCAGATCTCTCTCAAATAAAAAATAAAAAACATGCTTGGATTAGTCCTTCCTGCCTTTAATCAAACGCGTGATAACCGCATTTTTGGTGACAATCATCGCGACCGCACCGTACCCCGAGAGGCTGTCGCGATCACAGGCTGACAACATGGCCTGAGCGGCAATTTCAAAAAGCTCCTCCGCCCCAAGCCCAGGCCGCCAGAGGGTCTCACACATCCCATGCAAGCTATTAGCGCAGGTCCCGGTGCAAACGTAGTCCACCGGCTCGCAAGGCGCCCCCAGAAGATCCATCGCGCAAAGATAAACCTCCCCGGTCTGCTTATCCAAACTCGCCACAACCGGCTCCACAAACCAATAGCCAAAGCGGGCCTCATAGAGCATGGACGCTACCAGAGACGCAAAGGCCTTTCCACTGATATCGCGCTCCTCGCGCAATTTGTACAATTTCGTTCGGAAGCTTACCTTGTTCGAGAAGGTGAGTCGGTCGGTTTGCAATCCTGTGAGTCCATACACCACGCCATCATTAACAACATGTAATTTGGGTGCCTCCATGGAAATCGTTTTGAACTGCTCACCCAGGCGGTTGTCGGATAAAATCACGAAACACTCCTTGCCCGCCATGGCAAGGAGTGAACCGCCGTTGTATTCCATTATTGACATGACGTTGTAGATATTTTCAACGTAAAAGAATCCTTAAAACGATAGCTAACAAATAGGGTTTGCTTTACTCCGAACAGTGATAAAAGGAAACAGAAGGAAAGATTAAAGCATAATAAAGTGATTGCACACAAATTCAAAGAAAAAAACATAAAGAAGTATACTTGAAGCTTAAAATTTGACTTTTTTTTATACGGACAGAATTATTCATTTGTCATATACTATTTATTTTGTATAAAAAATTCAAAACAAACTTATGTCATTAGAAAAAAACCTGCGACATAGATCATTATGGATCAATATTTCTAAATATGTCGTAAAAACATCATGTACGTGTGCTACAACTACTCCATATATGCATTTTTTTTTTAAGGTGCATGTTAAATAATTATTCAGGCTTTCATTATCTAGCTATATATTGGATTATTTATATTTATATGAATCTATTATTAAATATATTCATCATGAGAATAACATAAATACTTTTGTATGATGAAAAAAAACTAAAAGGACATCTGGGCTTTTAGCAAGATATCTTCACACTGTGGAATGTATTTTGTAAAATAATAAAATAATAAATATAAATAAAATACACGATTAATTATATCAACCAGGAAAATATACTTTATAAGAATGTAACAATCAAAAGTCGGAAAGGAAACATAAAAAAAGAGGTTAGGAGGGCAGGGTATTATATTTTATTTAAACTAACTACTGCCTTATTAGCATTATATTAGGGAATCAAATAAACTGATCGGCAAACGTAAGGTCCCTCAAGGTACCTATTCTACGTAAAATAAAAAAATCAATACTATTAAAATTGGTAAAATAAATAGCTTGATAAGGTTTACTTTGAAAAGGTCATATAAAAAAACTCGAAGCACATATGGGTAATATGAATCATAAAAATCTTGAATACAATTCAAAGCCTTGTACATTAGCACATCGCTGAAATCTGATCGCTAAAGAGAAACTCTTGAGCCTGTTCTCAACAAGATTATCTCGGGTCGTAATTATCTTATGCTGAATAATATTATAGTACATGCCCAGTGCCGCTGTAGGAATACTTTACACCGATAAACACCTTTAACACTTTACGGAGGTTGGAACATGGCCCTACGTAGTCCTTACATTTCTACTAGACATCTTGTAGTTAGAAGCGATCCGAATCATGCACAACGGCCTGGAATAGACAAGCAGTGGAATCCTATTACATTCTAAAACATCCTTGGCTACCATGGTAAACTCAGTTGTGATATTGTCGCTATTATATTTGGTATTCATCATTAAGAACGCACACACAGTAGCGATTTTGTATCGTGGACTTTACCGTTTCTGTTGAGCAAAAGGTCACACACTTTTCCGACTCAGAAAAATAGAGATCTTCGTAAGCTTAATAGAAGGTTTATAAAATAGATGTTTTTTTCTTGTAGAATATACACGACCAGTGCCTCTATATTGACGAATTGTGAAACGCATTCATTCATTTTACCTCAAATTTATGAAGATCTCTGGGAATATCAGCATCCAAATGGTCCTCATGTATACATGTGATTTCACAAGTTTCATTTTTGAGTAAAACTCAAGGAAAAAATATTGGAATGTCACTTGTCCAAAAGGGACATTGAAAAAGATAAAGAAAAATATAAAAGGAGAAAAAGGAGAGCAAGTCGATTAAAGAAAAATCGAGCAAGAACATATTTAATGCGCTCTCCCAGGATTGATAAATTCGTTAAAGTGAATTTTGAATGTTGAAAAGAACGCAACAATAGTGAAAATATATTATACATATAACATCTACATAATAATGAAGAAAAGACAACCCTTCCCATGAGAATTTTAATTGCCTCATTTATCACACTAATTTTATTCATCCCAGTGAAAAAAATCAAGTGTACTATTCTAATAGTTCCTCCCTACGAAGAAACCATTTGTCGATATATATCACTAATAAATTTGTTACCTTCCACAACGGTATTATATTCCGTATAACCTTTCTTCTGGTCCTGCGCGAGCTGGACGACATTGGGGATTTGATTGCACATTAAAAGGGCATTATCCTGGCACATTACACTATCGTTCACCGATATGTCATCCAGGTATTGTTTGAGCATATTTTTCAGGTGTTGCTGCTCCTGCTCGAGAAGATTTTTCTCCTGGCTGATTGCCGCGCAGTCGAGCACGACCTTATTATGTCGAGCCCAAAAGCGATGCAAATTTTGCCAATTTGAAGATGACGACGTATTCCCCTCATCCACCGAACATCGCAGCGTCGATTCGTCATTGCCATTGGAGTCCGTTAGCGTGAGTCGATGTCGAATATCTTGCTCAATTTCCGCCGGGGTTTGGTTGGTATCCAACCGCAATACCTGTTCCCGCTCCGTTTCTAAAGGCTTGCAAAGCTGAACCAGGCGCAGTAAACTCTCCGCTCGCCTCTCCAAAACCTCCAACGACTTCTCACTCGTCGTCGCGTTCTTGATCAGTTCGGTGAGAAGTCGGGCCTGTGTACGCCGCCAATTTTGCATCTTGCGCTTTAGACGTTTTAAGTGCGCTAGGGTCGCATCGCGCTCCATCAGCATGGCGCGATTGCGCTGCTCCCACTCCCCGGCGTTCCGCGCGATGTTCAGCCGCCAGGAGGAAACGTCCTGCTGAAGTTTGTCAATCTTCTTCAGCTGTAGGGCAATGTGCTCGGTTATCTCCTGATCCTCTTTGGACTTGTCCGCGTACTCCTTCATGCTGACCTGAGAGGCCAACATGAAGTCTTTGTAGCGCTGATCCAACTCCTTGCGGATCTCTTCCGTCGCGCAAAGCATCTTGTCTTGAATTTTCTTTTTAAACTCTTCCATTTTTTCGACCGCGGTCTCATGCGATTCGGAAATTTCCTCTTGCTGCTGCTTTTCAAGAAGTTCAGCCTCCTCAGCAATATTTTTTAGAATCAAATTTAGATCGTTTAATTCATTTTTGTGATTGCGCGCTAACTCTGAGAATTCAAGCTCGAAATTCTTTTTCGTGCTGAGCAAATCAGATTGAAACTCCTGCTCAAGATGAGAAGTGTGGTGAGCTTGCATCAAACGAAGAGAGTCTACTACTTCCATATGTGAACGAAGGGAGAGTTTGTGTTGTTCCTCAATCTCCTCTAAATTAGAGGAAAGAAATGAAACTGCCAAATTTTTTTGGACAAGTTCCTGTTCAAAGGTGCGCCTTGCCGCATTCGCATTTGCGATTAGCTCCTCCTGCTTGCACTCTCGCAAAAAGGAAATCCATCGCGCCTCAATTAATTTCAGCGAAACCTCGGTCATGTTTTTCTCAACATCGATGATTTCCTTCAGCCTTTCCCTTCTGATAAGCTGTTCAACGCGATTTTTTTCACATTCTTCCACTCTCGCGCGCTCAAGAGCAATAGGGTCTAAAATTTTCTTCTTTTTCGTCTTTCGCTTCCCGCTCGCGGATGCCTTTGACGAGAAAGACATGATTTTAAAATAAAACAGAAAATAAACTACCCTAACAGTGAAGCAAAGAGACTTGTATGTAAAATTGACAATAAAGTTATTGGAGAAGCGAAACAAGATAACGAAAGTTTACATGTTGGAAGATATGCATGAACCAAGCAATAGTAGAAACAAGTATCGAGTAGTATTAAAAAAAAGAAGAGTAATCTGTAATATCAAGCAACCAAATAGAAAATTTCAGTTACCTCTATGTTTTCTTTTTCTTTCTCTTTTCTAAAAGTTTTTGTAGTGAAACTATTTCAGTTGAACGGCCGTTTTGCTCGAGGGAACGAATGACTTGATTAACAACATTGTCTTTAACAGAGGAGCTATGATGTCGCATCAATTCTTGAAAGACACGCAACGTCTCAGACCAAGTGTGGTTTGATGCAATTCCAATGGTCAAAGTAAAAATTGACAAGGGAGGCTTATTAAATGCCTTCATCGCTTGATCATAAACTGAAATTGCATCCTCCCAACGATTATATTTGCCTAACACCGATAAAATGATCAGGTAAGTGTTAGTGTCCCTATACGTCATGGAAAGCTCATTAAAAATTTCGATTGACTTTTCCCATTCCGACGACTTCCCAAGCGTCGTGAGAATGGTGTTCACGGTGGTCGTATTCATCGGAACCGCCTTTTCCTGCATGGAATGAAAAATAGAAAGCGAGACATCTGGTTTAGTCACCGCCGCGCCTAGGGAACAGTTGTAAATCAATGTCAGCGCGTCCAAGTTCCGAGCCCCAACATTAGGGAGTTGCGTCAGTACCTCAAGTGCCTTCTCCCACTGCTTATCTCTAGCGTAAATAAGCATGGTCTCTGTAATTGGGGACAAATCCACCTCAATAGTTTCATCAGAAGTTGAAACTGCATTATTTCCCGTCCTTTTATTGAGTGATGGAAAGGAAAAGTTGACGTCTTTGGAGGACAGCTCAGAAAGAGGTTCTCGACCTAAACTTCGTAGAGCATCATTTACCAAGGCAACGACAACGGGCAACGCCTCTGGAATTGGTAAATATTTACCGAATATGTCGGCAAGGTCTGCGATTTCAGAGTACATCTTGAGAGTGAAAAGAATAGGGGTAAGGTTTCGAAGGGTTGAAGCCGGATTAAAGCTCGGAATAAGCTTTGCAATCTTTACAGCAGCACGCAAAACATTTTCCGTTTGGAATGTCTTTGCTGCCTTGATGGCAACGGAAACATGCATTGGCTTTATTCCGATGCATTGAATTTGCGTATCGATCTCTTTAAAAACAAGCATCGGATCCTTACTATTCATAGCTTTCAAAGCGACGACCTTAAGTACTTTTGGATCATTCTTGTCAAGCCCACGCTTTTCCATATCAGAAAGCACCTCTTTGATATTTTCAGGTTTTGTTCGACGAATGAGCTCTGCGTACACTTCTTCATCGGCGGATGTGGAGGAAGCAAGTTGCTGAAGAAGATGCCGACGATGAAAGCCCTTCTCCGCAGACGCAAGCACAAGCTTCGCCTCCCTGCCCATACGCCCGGTTGCTGTGATGTTTTTGGTAGCAAACGCAATCACCTCTGCCTTTGCCTGATCACTCAGAGAATATGAGTTCTTCACCAAGATAATGTCGAGCTGATTTGTGGGGTCCGCCCTATAGGCATTGGAAATGTCAACAATACGAATGGCCTCCTCCCATTTACCATGACGCAAAAGGATTAACATGGCCTTCTTGACAAGAATCCTATCTAACGTTTTCTTGGAGTCCTCGCTCAAGGTATTATAGATGGTTATGAACTTTTGACCATTATACACTGAAAGCATCAATTTACTCTTTACATCTTCGCTGGCTTTTGAAGATTCGAGGAGCTTCACGAATTGTTCAATGAACTTGGGCCTATCAAAAGAGCTAAGGCAACGCAGCTTAGATAACAGATGAATGCTTGCCGAAGGGATAAGGAAAGCGGATCGACTACCGAGACCGACAATATTTTTAAAAAGCTTGAGGGACTCCTCGATAGATGTGGAGAAGTAAATTTCACGTAGTATACTCATCTCCCCCGTAAGATGCGGTTCATTTGTGGTAATACTCGTTCTTTTCTCAACCCATCTATTTCCTAAACTCTGGTGTTCTCGCTCCAGCTGTTCAGCAGCGAGAAGATCCGCCTCATCTTGTTTCTTCCTTTGGAATTGTGCTAGCTCTGCTTCCCTCTGCTTCTCCCAGGAGTCAACAGAAAATGTTTCCGCCTCGATATTCGACAATGAAACCTTGGAAAATAGCTTCTCATTTTTGGAAAAGTTATCAAACACCGATGTTGTTCTCGATGGTGAACTACTCACTTTGTCTGAAAGATGGCTTGGAACAACCTCATCGATTGTCTTTAGAGTCGCAACGTTTTGCTGAGGCACGTAGAAAGTCGGACGCGACTCAAACAACGGCTTGTCCTCCGAAATGGGTATGTCGCCGAAAACATCTAATAAATTTTCCTCCTCTTGAGACTCCTGAGCTTGTATGTTGTCTTCGTGACCAACGTCTTGGGCCATCGAAGAAACAACAGTCGTTGGAATGCTTGTTTCTTCCATGGATTCCGTTTGTTCGTGAGCCGCAGGTGTTGGTTCCATCGCAGGTGTTGACAAAGAACTTTCAACTTTTACAGAGGAAACAATAGATGGGACATCAAGGTGTGGTACTTTTTTGGAAAAGCTTTGCACAGACGGTTGTGGCCTCAACGGTGATGACGCTTTTTGTGTCGCAAGAAACTCTACTACCTTATAAGAGACACCTCCAAAAGAGGCGTCACGTGCCTTACTATGACGATAAATGTCTTTGAGGTGATGACCAACTGGTTTATCACCCCTCTGAAGTGCATTTATAGCACCAGTCTTTCGTGCGGAGTCAAAAATAACCTTGGCAGCTGCAGCAAATGACGATGTATGACCCTTACGAGGTCCTGGCATCGCATGTAGAAAACTTGAGTAAACAACTAATGAGATAAAAAGAAATACGTGACTTCCATAAATAACCTAGTGAATTAAATCATAATAATAATAATATATATATTCCAAACCAAATGGGAATAAAATAAACACACAGAGTATTGTATTGGTGTTGCTTTTTTGAAGAGTCGAAGAATAATATTCAGATAAAACCAATTTATCTATCTATTATCAGAATATCATTAATTGCCCAGAGGTTGCCTACAAGATGTAGGAAGCAATCGGAGTTCCGAAATGATCGTGCAGACGACATGCATCAATGACTGCATAAAAAGGCTGGAGCAAAGAAACAAAAATATCATCATTAGAGCTATCTAAAAGAATGTCGAGAGCGTATATAGGTATTTGATCGTCCCCAGATGATAAATCAATCAAGCAAACTTGTTGGAGAAGTACTATCAATTCCAAAAACGATGCACGGTTTAAGCTGACATGTGACCTCCCATATGTCTTTTGTAGCTGGCGAACAACAACAAACAAGCGTTCCAGAAGGAGACGAGAACTACCTTCACTAGAATGAGCATGCATTTGTTCTGTTTCCTTAGCCAGCACACATACAGTTATGAAGAGAGCAGGGGATCGGATAGCCTTAATAAATTCAACAAAACGATCTTGAAAAACTTGTCGTACTACACCGTAAACCTCTTTCACAGTAATAACCGCTTCGTCAGGAACATATGGGAAGTTATTTTCTTCAATCTTCATAACGACTCGACACACCGCTGCTGAAGCAGACTGAAGCAGTCTTCTGCCATCGCCATAATGAGATGCTGTTTGATGACACAACAGGTTTGTGGCTTGATCCGAAAAAAGTTTAGGCGTGATACCACTCAGACGTGATACCAATATTTTCTTGAGTTCGTGGATACCATATGGAAGAAAAACAAGCTGCTTGGTGATGTCTAAGCGACTTTTCGTCTTTGCATCCACTGCTAAATCCATTGAGTTGGATATGGTAATAAGTTTGCAATAAGAAAAAGGCAAACTAAGCCAGTCAATGACTTTAAAAAGAGCCTTGGCATGCTTTTCAAGAACCTTGTCAACCTCATCGATCACAATGACACAGAAAGAGGGGTTGGACCCCCAACCATTTCGAAATCGCTTTTCAATCCAGGAAGAGCACTGATCAACCGGACACTTTTCAGTGTATCCAAGACGCGTCTGCATGAGATGAGAAAATAAAGTCCAGTAAATATCCGTACTTTTTTGTATGACATAGCCGTTAAGAAAAACTGCCGTAGGCCTTCCGGACTCCTGAGTAGCGAACTGAGTGAGGGCATAGTGAATTGTAGCAGTTTTGCCAGTTCCGGGCATACCAAAAAGCTGCATAGTGTGGTGAGCAGGCTCTTTGAAAAAATCGACGATCGCTTTGCAATGTTCATCACGACAAACAATGTGTCCGGAAAAGGTAAAATTGGACACACTAAGGGCTTGAATGCCGTCCTTTAGTGCCCGCAACAAGGTGTCACGTACATGATTTTTTTTATCTTCATCCATGTCCCCTTTACATAAACATAAAAATAAAAATAAAAAGGGAGAAAAAGATAAAAGATTTCATCAATTAAATATTCATAACTTCATATGTGTTGCATTTTAAAGAGTGTTACCACTAATATGGTATTCTTATTATTACCTAAAATTGCTACTAAAGTATCATAAATGGCAAAATTCGAGAAATTGTCCTTAATGCATACCGATGTAAAATATCTACAAGAACAATAATGTTTGATAGAATAATAGAAAAAGAATAAAAACACTAAAAATATTTTTAATGGTCGAAAAGCGTTCGGGAAGAGATGAGTTAAGTGAATCCTAAGATATGAAAAATTGAGTGACATTTTAAAAATTTGTCAGCTGTAACTAGTTTGATTTTTCCGTTTTCTACGAAATAGATCTCTCGCCAGAGAGGCATTAAAAAAAAGAACTCTAGGCCATAATTACCATGTTCCTCCATTCCTCGGTTCCACTTGAATTTCCGTTGGAAAGTGCCTTCCGCAATTTTCTCAATAGGCACAGAGTTAAGATAACCCTTCCTCACAAAATTTCTTTCATCCGTTAAAAGTTCACGAATTCGTTTTCCATGATGCATCCCTCCCCATGGGCAACCGAAAGAAGCGCCGGGTGCCAAAAGCTGGTACGCCTCTTCACCCTTTCCTTCCCTTCGCAAGCGTAAAAATTCTTCTATGACTTGCATCAGAAATCTATACTCTAATGTCCCTAGATTAGTGAAAAAAGAAAAAAATAGAAACGAGAAAAGTGGAAGAATTATTGGTGCAATTCATTGAGCTAAATAAGCAAATAATATTGATAAAAAAAAAAGGTATATTATTGTTATTTTTCTATTTATTTATTTTTATTGTATAAGAGGAAAGTAAATGCAATGTAGACTATAGAAACTTGGAGTCAAATGATTCCCTGGGTGACTTGTCGAGATAATCACTCAAAACTCGGTGATCAAACTGCGCCTTTTCCTTCAAGTTTTCCTCAATCGCCAACTTCGCAAGCTGAGAAAGGTGTAAAGGATAGGTCGGATCCAATGCCATGCGAACCGCCTCAGCAACATCATCCTCGGGTTCATCAGTTGACTCCTGAAGCATGTGAATTAAGCGTTTTTTATAGTCATTCCAGTCTCCGCCGATCATCTCAACGTAATTTTTGAGATGTTTTTGACGCTGAAGACTCGCCTTCCGCCTACCCCATTCATGGCTCTGTGGTGGTGGTTTCGCACCAGGAATTTGGTGGAAGAACCCAAACTTATGAATTGAAGTAATCTTATGCAGTATCCACAATTCTGAACGCATTTTCTTTTTCAAAGACGAAACCACGGAGACTTTTGGGCCAGAAAACTGGTGTCGAAGAAATCCTCCATAACGTATTGGGGCATCATAGTAATCTAATAATACGAAACGCCGATTTTGCTTGATTTCATACTCAATAAGATGCGGCTCGGACGGATTCAAAATAGAACGCAAGTTGGTGCAGCATATGGCAATTACTCCTGTCTCTGATAGAAAGTCAGATGCCTTTTCAAAAAATTCCTCCAATCTTCCAGCAACTCCTTGCATACCAGGGGCAAACTTGCTAGCGTAATCAGTTAGTGAAGAAACAATTTCCTCATCGGGATAGAACACAATGATGTCATATTTTCGTGGGTTGAAATCATCCAGTGGAGGAAACAGCTCTGCAGTCTGAAAACTAATACCTGATAGTTTGTGGTGAGTCGTAGCATCTTTCCGGCAACTCGAGATTGCTCGCGGACGTGGATCGGCACCACGAACGATCGGTACATTGAAATATTTAAGAGTAAAAGGTACCACCCCTGGGCCGCAGTTCACAACTAATGCTCGGTTAAGTCCTAAGGTGGGTCTAAAATTTTCTAACCACTGCTTAAGCAACATAATTGGCTCAAGCGAAGAGCGAGAAGGCAACATGATTCCATACGGTGGGTGTAGTTTAACAGCCTTGGGAAGTAATGGATAGACTGATGCACCCTCTTCAAATACAAAAAAACTTTTAATCAGCTCAATATATTCCACATATTGTAGATGGGAATGCTCTGAAATAGGGTAATACTCTTCAGCAAAAAGCTGAAATCGCCTGTAAAGAAATTGTGACCATTTGTAGTTATCAAAATAATAATTTTGAACTCCAAAGCTCTGATTTAGTTCAGGATTATTAAAATCGTCCAAGACCCAGAAGTCACGCCGTATTAGAATACGACTTATCAATTCCTTTTCATTCACTTGAGAGATGACAATATCTTGAGGACCCACTAGAGGGTATTCGGACTGACACAAACTTCGGACCCCAATATAAACTTTATGAATCGTTTCAATATTGTTTAAAGGAGCCACAAAATGGCCCGCCCTAATCAAGGAATAGACATTGTCAATGGGCTCAGAATCGTCTAAAGGAACATAACCAAGTGGATAGCGCAAAGGATCGAGCGTCGCTTCAGGACGCAAAATAAGAAGGCGCGAGAATCTAAAGGTATATGGCTCTCGAAAAAGCCTCCTCATTTAAAAAAAATGGTGTACTTGGGCATGAATGCTAAGTTTGATAAAAATGTCAGAAACATGATAGAACAAAATGAAATAAATTAAAAAATGTTGTTGTAGAAATGTTATTGGCATTTATATGAAATTTATAGCCCAGAATAAACACATAAATTAAAATATATAATTAACTATATTCGATAAATAAGTTTAGCAGAAACTAAAAATCAATATATAGATAGATAGATATAAGGATAAGCAATCATTTTGTAAGGTTTTAAAATAAATTCCATATACTGAATAAAAAAGAATCTATGTTTAAAATATTAAAGAAAAAATTCCGAAATATCCCAATCAAAATATAACTGAACTGATATATTTAGAGTTAAAACCATACAAGGATAAACTTGCAAAGGTGGTAAATTTAAAAAAAACTAAGGCCAGATAGATTAAACACTATGTCATTGAATATTGAGCGTTGAACTTATATGTATTTTAAGTATAAGAAATGGATGAAAATACTTTGCTAATCGATCTAACAGAAAAGGAAAAAAGTCGTAAAAATGTAATTCAAATATTAATAAAGCTAAGATAATTATTCAAAAATAATGCCAATATGTATTTGTGATGAGATTTTCAATCCCTTTTAATAATCCCGCATTAACAAAACGATGTGGATATTATTCTTTTTTTCTTTCAAAAAATAAAAAGATGCCTCTTTTATGTAGTAAATTCTATAATGGCATTGGTTGCACCTCAAGGATTAAAAAAAACTGTCCTTTTTACAACACTTTGGATGTCCATTAAAAACCTGAACGAAATCTTTTTTTGCATGGTACATTTTATATCCACTATTATAACCCAATGAAAATACCTAGGATTAAATTATTCCTTAAGCGCTAGTATTTTGTAAAGCTGGCCAAGCGTTTCACTATTTTTAGCTTAAGGGCGAATATATAAAACCATAGAAATTTTCGATTTTTTCATTGGTATTATTGAAAATCGAAATAATAATTATCCCACCATTTTGTCGATTTTAAAAAAGGGCGGGGCCACCCCTATTTTTAAGGAGGGCCAGCTTATAAAGAAACCAAATCA